ACATTTATAATTCGAGGACTTAAACAGATTTGAATGGATGTGTGGTTCAATTAACCATAAAAATGATTTAATAATGAATTTAATATTTAATGATTTAGTAATGATTTGATAATAATTAATAATTTGATAATAATCATTATAATAATGATTTAGTAATAATCATTATAATAATGATTTTAATATTTAATGATTTGATGATTTAATAATGATTTGATAATAATCATTATAATAATGTTTAGTAATAATCATTATAATAATGATTTAATAATAATGATAATAATGATTTGTTAATAATCATTATAATAATGATTTAATAATAATGATAATAATGATTTAATAATAATCATTATAATAATGATTTAATAATGATTTAATAATAATGATAATAATGATTTAATAGTAATGATTTAATAATGATTTAGTAATGATTTTATAATAATGATTTAATATAATGATTTAATAATTATTACTAATTATTATAGAATAATAACAAATGAGTGTACAAGTGTGGACTACTCGAATTTAAATTTATACATAGTCGAATTTATTAATGATTTTTAAATATTTAATGATTTGATACTAATGATGTACTAATTATTATTAATAATGATTTATTAATATTTAATTATTTGATACTAATGATTACTATTAATGAAATTATAATAATTTGATACTAATTTCAATATATAATTTGTAACAAATAGCAAACGAGTTTACAATTGTTGTCGATGTCGGGATGTTGTTGAATGATAATGTCGGGGCGGACGTCTGATACGTTGTGGCTGTTGCGGTTGCTTAGGAGTATGGTACCCATCCTCCTCATTCATTGGGGGCATTTGAACTGCCTGTGTTCAAAGTCATACATCGACGAAAACATAGGAGAATAGATGGGTGCCTCAGGCTGCACAAACTCTGGTATGTATGCCGGGACAATAGAATCATCAACTGCGTGATGCAACGATCCCGCATCGCCGAACGGTTGTGGTGCGCTATTATCCACATCGGTCATTTCCGCTTCAGGTTGTAGAGATGAACTCCCACTCGGTAGAGAGTATTCAGCTTTACCAAATCTTTTCTTAAACCTAAAAAATTGTCGCATCTCTACCATTATTGTGAGGAACGACTTTCCATTATCCCAAAAATAAGCAAGGTAAGTCGAAGTCTCAAAATTAAAGTCGTCGTCTTGAATGTCGTCAAGAGTTGGCATGAATGAAACCCTATTGTTCCAAGCATTAATGTAGGTTGCATGCTTCTCAACCCAATTAACATTTTCTTTACGACGACCATCAAATATGTGCAGGTCGTCATGCGTCTCAACCCAATTCACCTGACGACGACCATCTAAGTTTTGGAGGAGGTCATGATCCCATGGACTCCGCAGAATATGTTGGTGGAAGTGGAATTGCCTCAGAACTCTATCCCCAAATTGGATCTCAACAAAAGCAAAATTGATCAATGGTGTAACAACACCAATATTGAAACCCATCTAAAATATCGTGCGGTATCAACGCAAGAATTTCTTCATTCATGTATGGTCTCCAATTAAACTGTAAAATTACAAAAACAATAAAATTGATTTAAATCAAATAATATAGTTAATTTAAGTAATAATTAAAAATAACATATTACATATACCTCATTTTTGGCCTTAATGTCGATCTTCAGCCTGAACTCTTTAATGTTGTTGTGCACCAACCTCGTGCCTTCAATTTTATGTCTCCATCTGTATATCAATCAAAACAAAAATATTACCATTTTGTTCAATAATATTAATCAAAATAAATTTTCTAATTAATATTTTATATTAAAATAGAGGATTCATATTACCTTCCGGCAAGTGGAAAGTCAACCGCAGTCTGACTAATCGGTGTCAAAAATGGAAGTCTATGCCAAGCCCATGATTGCAGCAGCAACAGACATCCACCGATTTCTGCTGTATTATTATCATTCACGACTAATGACGCCTTGCACATTTCACGATACAAGAACGCCAATATCGTCGATCCCCAGTTATATTGCCTACTATTCTCAAAATTTCTTAAAAAAGAATATACTGAGTGTGAACATAACTACCGGATTTATCAGGCATCAAAATTCCCCCAATCAACTGTAATATATATGCTCGTGTTGCATATATAATTTCGTGCTCTGTACTATTTGGTTAAAGCTGGAATTCATTCTTCAACCATGACAACCTCACACGCCACCCTCTACACTCTGGTGGTACGGGTGCTTTCCCAAGAAACAAGCTGCAAAGTTGTGCCACATTATTAAACTCATGTGACATTACCATCGGTATCCCATTAGTTTGGACCCCGAGTTGCATTGCCACATCCTCCAGAGTTATCGTACATTCGCCACACGACAAATGAAACGTGTGCGTTTCTGGTCTCCAACGTTCAATCAACACACTGATCAAACCTAGGACCAACTTGTAATCTCGCACAAATGTTACATACCAAAATCCAGCATCTTGCAAGTTTTCTTCAATCAATGGGTGTGGCTTGGGCACTTTATGTAGCCGAAGACGAAAGACTCGCTGCTCGTCCTCCTGCAATTTGATAATGCAAAAACATTTATCACAATCATCATAAAATAATATTCAAATATTTATTAATTATAATTTATTAAACAAATATTTTATTCACCATTATTCCTAAGTAACTTGAAATATGTTCATTGTCAAGTCTCAGCAGTGGAATTTGGTCAGCCATTGAATGAATCTGTAAAAAATATTAAACAACAATATTTAAAAAATCATTTAATATAATCTAATATAAACTAACTAACTAACTTACTAATTTACAACACAACAAAAAAAATTAATATAATAACTTATAATATAATAAACTTATAAAGTAAACTTTTTAAAATATAAGTTAAACGTAAACGCTAAACCCTTAAACAACTAATAAAATATTCTTTTATACAACTAAAACTATTAAATTATTTTTTCATTATAATATACTACTAATATTACTAACTAATTTTTTTATATAATATAAATTCAACAAACTAATATAACTTAACTAATTAACTAACACAAACTAATTAAATAATTTTTTTATATAACTAACGAATAACAAAACAAACTAATTAATTATTTTTAACTATATAACTATCAAACATACTAATTAAATAATTTTTTATTTCTGTATAATATATTTAACTTAAACTAACAATCATATAACCCTAAACTAACAAACTAATTAATTGATTTTGTTTTACCCTAAACCCTAAACTAAAAAACTAAAAATTATAATAATAAACTAATTTAAATAATAAAAGTTTACCTCACAAGAGCCTTATCTCCCTTTCTTCTTCTTCCTTTCCTTTCTCCCTTTCTTTCTTTCTTTCTCGGCTGCACTATCTTCTCCCTTTCTTTCTTTTATGTTCTCACGTTAACCACCTCCCATATATAACACAAGCTGCCTCAATTATTTCACCAATAATTGTACAATTCACGGGCTGAAATGGTTCACATGCATGCATCAATAATTGCTACATGAAGCATCTGATTTCACGCTACAATTGCAGCCCATATAGCCGCAGCGACATGCAGTAAGGGGACGGCATGCAGCAGGGAGCAGGTTATCACGTAAAAAAGACAAGGTCGCTGGGAGTGCATGGCGACCTATGGGTTGGCTTGCATGGCTCATGCAACGTCCATGCAACGTCATCATCGTTTATTCTCGGAAGCTGCCACGTTGTAGGTCGCCCGGAAGGCATGGCGACCTACAGCCAAGCTGTGCATCACCCTATTTCAACAATTAAACTTGGGAGAACATTATCACGTGAAATAAAAATTTCGAGAACATTATCTCGTGAAAGCAGCCCCAATAATCCATTTAGCTTACCACTTCTATGCTAAGATTTAGCTAAAATCTTGAAGTGCAATTCATTCACTAAGCAAGCCAAACATATATTTAGAGATTAAATTGTAAACTTTTAAAAATATAAAAAAACTTGTATTTCATTATTTAAATACTTATCTATTACCAACTTATAACATATATTACAATCATTATGGAAGTCACAAGTCAAGTTATAATATGTACGGACCCTTACGTAAATTTATAGAAGTTAAAGAACCAATATATTAAATACTTTCAACACCTTAATTTCGAACCTTATTATAACTTATAATGATAAAAAATATAAAATATAAAATTTGAATGTAAATATTCTCCTTAAATTGCTTTTAGTAAAGTTCTTAATTAAAAGTATGAATCCTTTAATAAGAGTATGAAAATTTCTGTAAGAGTATAAATATTCTAGAAGGGTATGGATACTCTTAAACTTATGGACAAAAAAATATCGAAATTCTTGTAAGAATTTTAAATTTTTTGTTATAAAATTGTTGAAAAATACTAAAAATTCAATTTTAATCACTTCAAATGAACCTTCGATGACCTAAACCACCCTTAAACTTTATGAAAACTTAACATAAGCTAGATGGACATGTCATAACTCAGTAAATGCACATAACATCATGCTCAATACATCAAACTTACATACATTTTCCCATTACAAATCAATTACACACCAACATGCAATGAAATTCTCCAACAAGCAATTCATAATCAGACTAAATACCATCTAAGAATAATAATTGACTATACTATCACATAAAAAATGACAGAAATACTTTAAGAATTACACTAATATGCCAAGCATTATACACATGCAACATTTCAAGTAATACTTAATACGTATCATAATATAAACATATATACATCTAACCACGTAATCAAAATGACCTGAACTGGCTACATGCCGCCGTTACAGTAGTTTCAAAACATTAAACACATAGAAAATGAATTTTAGACTGGTTACACTTTAACCTTGTGATTGTTATCAAGCTCGGTTAATCTGGAATTCTTTAATTCCGCCTCACCTTCATTCGCTTTTCTTTTCTGCTTCTTTATTAGACTGGTTACATTTTAATCTTGTGAATAGCACAGGTCTCGACTGTAACGAGTATTCTTGGAGGCACATGTATGGCGTTCTCATATGGAAGCTTTGGGAGCTTCGTTTTCAATGGCCAAATCTGGTCATCAATAGCGATCATTCGGGATGCTAAATCTTGGGCAAGCACTATTAAGAATAACCAAAAGATCGTTGCTCCTCGAAACGGTGTTGGCAACAAAGGTGGCCATTGGAACCCACCGAGAGCAGGGACCTTTAAACCGAACACCGATGGTGGTGTGAATCCCATGACGATGAAGCCGTCCAGCGGTGGTGTGATCGGAGACTGCAGAGGAGACTGGATTGTTGGTTACACCAGAAATATTGGCTGCTGCTCAATTTTACAATCTGGATTCTGGGGGTTCTTGATGGCCTCGAGGTTGCTTGGGAACGAGGCCTGTAGCAAGTGATCATGGAGATGGATAGCATCGAAGCCGTTCGTTGCTTGGAGTCTTCCCCTCGCTCTCATGAAACAACAATTTCAGACGGATCCGAAGACTTATAAATCCGTAATGGATTATCAAATTCAGATACATGCATGCCTCGTGAGCTCAATAAACTGGCCGATAAGTTGGCTGCCATTGGACGCCATTCTAGCCTGGGGCTCTCGGTGTTGCGATGCCCGCCTTATGAAACTGTCATCACAATCGATCTTAACCAATCTACTTTGAGAAGACGACGTAATCCATGTTAACTCAGGTTTTTTCTTTGTAATAAAAAAAAAAAGAAAAAGAAGAAGAAAGCTTAGTGAGACCCCACCTGATATTATCTTATGTGTAAGTAATTTTGACTTTTTGTAATAGATTATTTTATCATTTTCGCAAAAACTAGCTATGCACATTTTTTTATAAAATATAAAATATAATATTAATTTATAATTTTGAAAATTTTAATAAAAAATTATTTTAAGATAATTTAATGATATTTTAATTTTGTCGTGATAATAATACTAAAGCAAAGGCAAAGCAAACAGAATGCAAGGTGGTTTGGTTCGAATGTGGGCAGTCCCATAATAACATCACATAGCGATTGCAGACGTGTCGTAGGACGAGTCCCGGTTTGTCGTTTTGGGCAAAGGATGATCAAAGTCTAATCGTCTTCCTCTAAAAGGACAGAGGAGACAAGGATACCCGTCTTTGGTGTCATTATAATATCAACAGAAATAGGAAAAAAATAAATCCAAAAAACAATCAGGGAAAAACTATTAAACCTCCACCTGGCCATTGAATTATAGAAACGGCTCCCACACTACTTGCTTTGTCCACTTTGAAGAAACTGTAATCAACCGTCCCCCTCCCTCTTTCTTTTTGTTTCTTTGAAAAGCTTTTTTAAAGTTTCGGTTATCTCAAAGCAGAATTTGGATTTACATACATTCCTTCTGCTTCTGCACTTGGCGTTGGAATCCCATAGTTTTGTATTACGAACAATCCATGTTTGGTAATGTTAAGAAGCTGGTGGAGAAGGCTTCTATTTCCAAGAAGGTAAAGTTCAATTGCTCTGTTTCTTTTCTGATTGTGATTTTTCTCTTTTCGTTTTCGATTTGAAGCAGTTTGTATCTCTAGATTTATTTATTTTTCTGAAATTAAAAACTATAGTTTAAGCTTATGGATTTTTGATTCAGAGTTTTTGCTTCTTTTTTCAAGTCTGAACTAATTTGCAAATCAGCTATAGTTAGTGGAGGTAGATGCATTGCGTATTAGTTGAAATTTGAAATAGTTAACACTTTGGATCCCCTTTACCTCTCCCCAGTCCCCCGTGAAGAGATTTGATGAAGTTTGCTTGTAGTCTTAGATCACCATGTCAAATTCACATTTAACAACCGTTGCAAAAATTACTCGTAATAAGAAGCATACAATCGTAATTTTAAAAGAAAGAATTCCTGCCACCAGATTTTGAAAAGAAGAACGCTTTGGTGCTATGCCTTTAGCAGCAGGGCAGCGGTGAAATCAGGAAATTTTTGTTGGGGCCAAGGCTAAAAAAATTGTGTCAAAGAGTTTGAATTGAATTTTTAATTTTTCACGAGAGTTCAAAAATGTAATTTTACTCATTTAACCACGGAGTTAAAAGGGCTTAATTGAAGTATTTAATTTGGAAGGGACTAAAAATATACATTTTTTACCATTTAACCAATGCCCTGCCTGCCCCACCATCGCTTCGCCCCTGTGCTGGGGCTTTGGATGTAGGCTTGTTTCATTACTTATAATCCTAGTTAGTAACCAAACCTTGGATACTTTATCTTTGATTTGGTCGGTGGAAGTTCTAGAAATCAGCAGTCAAACATGTCCATGTGATGGGCGGTGCTGTTTTTATTGCAAGATTGGATATGGACATGGGACCCTCATCCATTCATTTTAATCTCAATTAGACTTTGTTTTGTCTGATGTGGACCCACTCAAAAGAAACTTTATTTATTGATTATAATAATAAAAATAAATTACATTAGTGGAAGAAATTTCATAAAACTTGATCAAGAATCAAGATAATTGTCTTACCATTTCATCATTGCAGAACTACTAAATTATCTGTTCTGTTAGCAGTTAGAAGTTAATAGAATTAAAGTAAAAGGTGAGTATAAACATTTATCAGAATCATCCATATCTGAGACTGAAACCAACTTTTTTTCAACAGTAACTTTCTGGGCCTAAATGCATCTGGGTGTAACAATCTTATGACACTATTACTGTTTCTATTTCAGTCTGGAGGAAGTTTTGATGGTTTGAAAGCTGGTGATGTGGACCCACATTTGGTATTTCATTATGGGATCCCATCGGGTTGTTGCATGTTTGCTTATGATTCCATTCAAAAGATACTTGCAATATCTACTGTGTGAGCCTCTTTTCCCTCTCTTGAATGGCACCATTGAATTGCTTGCTTGATAAGTAATTACAAAGTCAATTTTCACTTCATTATTGGACACAGAATTTACAGAATGGTAATTCTTGGATATCCTTTTTCATCGAGCAGTGCAGATGTATCTGAAATCTGATTATGTGGTGATAAGTAATAACCATATCCTACAAGCTGATTATTATTAACTTAAATAATTTTTTATTTTCAGGGATGGCAGAATTAAACTCTTTGGGAAAGATAACTCTCAAGCACTACTTGAATCTGATGACACGGTGCCAAGCAAGTTTTTGGAGGTCTTTTGTTACATTCAGTTGTGGTTCTGCCGATACATATTATGCTATCATTAATAATGCTCTATCAGTATTTCTTTTTTCCTTGTAAAACTTATTTTCTTTTTTTCAAGTTATTCAGAGTTACTAATATGAACAGTAATTTCTCTTCAGTTTGTCCAGAATCAAGGCATCCTTATAAATGTAAATTTCAAGAACCATATTGAGGCAAGTTACTTGCTTGGTTAATTGCTGAGTCTGTCAGATTAGATATGAGAGTAGTCTACTTTTATTGTCATCAGAATCAGTATTGCCTATGTTTTCTTGCTCTATATTTTACCAATAAATTTGTCTTCTTTCTCTCTTTTTCCTATGGGAATTAATTTTTCCATGGAAATTTTAATGTAGGTTTGGGACTTGGAAAAGAGGCTCTTGTCTCATGTACATGTGTTTAAAGAAGAAATTACTTCTTTCGCAGTTATGCAAACTGGTCCCTACATGTAAGTCTGTCTTCGGTTCATAGCTCTACTGTAGGTTATTTCCACTTTCAAGATAAGAACATGCAGCATTTGAACTTTCTATATTGATTTAACTTCTGAATTTGCAGGTATGTTGGAGATTCTGATGGCAACATCAAGGTTTTTAAGATTGAACAAGAAGTATGCCATGTTATACAAATGAAATACGCTATACCTTTCTCAGCTTCTCATGGTAAGTAGTACATGCATATCAGCTTAAGATTTGAAGTGTGTTAAGCATAATTGTGCAGCATAATCTTTTAACAAACAACCTTAACAAGGTTCAAGCCTTACACCTTTAAGATGTTCTTGTTTACTCTCTAGAAGGCTTGATGACAATGACATCATTATGCTTCCCCTGATTACAAAAGCCGCTGAAACGAATAAAGCATGATACATGAATCATTTGGAGTTGAAATGTACTAAGCCAAACTTCAAAGTTGACTGTTTCGAAAAAAAGAAAGCTCTGCGACCTCCATACCGTCCCTGATTACGGGACATACTTTTCATGTGTTTGTTCTGTTGCAGCCATTCTGAGAATTCTTGAAGTTTACTTTGTGGTACCATGTCTTACATTACTGATATATCAAACTTTATTAACCATCTTGTTTAGGAAATCCAACTGAGGTTTTAGCTGATAGGGCTGTTATGTCCATACTTCCTCAGCCAACAGCTGAAAGTAAAAGGTACTCTTACTTTCTCATTCTGTTAATTTTCGTTTATAATTAAGTTCCATAGAGATACCATTTTTCAAGTACCCTTGACTCTTATAGTGAGGATTTCTGACCTCTAAGCACGTTTGTGTTTCTATACTTCATTTCTTTACTTTTTATTCAAACTTTAATGTGTTATCTCAGCAGCGAATATGTTCTCATGTGTTGCTCAATTCACTACAGAATTCTTGTAATATTTAGAGATGGCTTTATGATTTTGTGGGAAATTCGAGAAAGCAAAGCTGTTTTGGTTACTGGTGGAAGCATGTTTCAATCAGTAAATAATGAAGCAAAACACGTGACTTCAGCATGTTGGGTGTGCCCTTTTGGTAGTAAAGTTGCTGTTGGTTACAATAATGGAGAGGTTCTCATATGGAGTGTTCCTACATCAAAGCAATCAGAAATTGGCATTCAAAATGCTCCCATTTGTAAACTCATTCTTGGGTTTAAATCAGAAAAGACTCCAATAGCATCTTTAAAATGGGTTTATGCTGATGCAAAAGCCACTCGACTATATGTCATGGGTGCCTCTGATGTACCCTCAAGCCTGCTGCAGGTACTTATATGTCTTGTTATAATTATCTATGGACTCCAATATGGCATATCTCTTTTAATATTTCGCTTTAAACTTTTAGCCCAGTTAAGAAGGATGAGAGAACTATTATAGGCATTTTAACATGAAAACCTTGATCAATTATTGGATTTGGATGTAATTTTGACTATTAAGGTTTGATGAGGCAGGTAATCTTATTGAACGAGCATACTGAAACTCGTACAATTAAACTTGGGCTTCATTTGCCTGAGCCTTGTTTGGACATGGTGATCACTTCAAGTACCACTGAACAAAGTAAACTTAAACAAGAATTTCTCCTCCTGATTGGAAAATCTGGAAATATTTGTATGTATGATGATTGCTCTATTGAGAAGTATCTTCTGCAATGCCAATCAAGGCCTCCACCCTCCCTCCCAAAGGAGGTAACGGTGAAGATGCTATTTGTAGATTCAAGCATCACAGTCACAAAACTCATCACTGAAAACCCTTATGCATTAAGTTCAGATGAGGTAGGTTAATCGGAATATTTGTTTTCTGTTCTGCTGCCATTATCATGAATCTTTTGATAAGTAACTTGTCTAACGTTTTTTGCTGCTGCTTCTGCATTTTCCTCGGTCTTGCAGGATTACATTCAAGCTGTCAAAGATATTCCATCACTTGTTCCCTTAGAGACAAAGTCGAAAGATGGAGGTCCCTCAAACTTGTACCAATTTAGTGGATTTGGGAAGATCAAAAACCTTTACATAACTGGACACAGTGATGGAGCCATCAATTTTTGGGACTTATCATGCCCCTTCCCTATACCAGTTATGTCATTAAAGCAACAGGTAATATATATCAAGAAGTTTTTGGATTCCATGCTGCATTAAGATCGCAAGAAAGAAAACCAGAAGATTGATTATTTTAATCAGATATGTTGATTTCTAGATTATTGCAAATTGGTTGGGTTCAAGAAGCTTTCTAGATTATTGCATTTTTTCTTAATGCAGAGTGAAGATGATTTTTCTTTAAGTGGAATACCACTGACGGCACTATATTTTGATGGAAACTCCCGGATTCTCATTTCTGGTGACCAAAGTGGAATGGTAAAATCCACTGCAGATAGTTTTGTCAAATTTAATGAATTCTTCTCTTATCTAACCATTTCCTTCTTCTATCATGAATATTTCAGGTTCGCATCTTTAAATTTAAGCCAGAGCCATATACAGCAGAAAATAGTTTCATCTCTTTCCAAGGTATAGTTAAGTATACCTTTGGAATGGGAGGTTTTGACGTTGGGTTTAGCAGTTGTTTTTGGGTTTGTATGTGCAACAAAGCAATCTTTCCATGTTTTCTTCCCTTTGGACTTGAAACACAAGTATGAATGAGAAGTAGTTCAGTCATTTATAATAAATATAGTTCAGATGTTCTATCAAATTTTAGATCTCAATTGCATGTTTATTTTCTGCACTCAATATATCCTCAAAGTGATCACCATGTTATTATTCTCTCTTTTTATTTCTGTTTAATCTTTCTGATCCAGGAAGCAGTAAGAAAAGAAACAATCATATTATCCACAGTGTAAAGGTCATTAAGCTTAATGGTTATGTACTGTCTTTAGCCATGTGCCAGAAAACAGGACATCTTGCCGTTGGATCTGACTGTGGAGATGTATGCTTATTTTCTTTTGATTCTTTCCTTCCTCATGTAACTCACAATTTGTTTTTGAAACTTTTGGACGTTCGGCTGATAGTGAGGAAGTAACAGTGGCATGTTAGTGTAGCAATCTTTAACTTTCAACTCCATAAACAGGTTTCACTAGTTGACACTGAAGGTCTCAATATCATATTTCAAAGTCATATTGCAAGTGATATCTGTCCTGGCATCATCTCAATGCATTTTAAAACCTGCAGTCTGCAAAATTTTGAGAAGGATGTTTTGGTGGTTGCAACAAAGGATTCATCAGTTTTGGCCTTTGATAGTGATTCTGGGAACATGCTGAGTGCTAGCATGGTTCAACCCAAGAAACTCTCAAGAGCTCTATTTATGCAGATTTTGGGTATGTGCTACTCTTAGCAAGCTTCCTAAAACGAGTACTAGATAGCATAATCCATTTATTGAACACATAAATCTGATATCGTGAAGTACAAAATTGTAACTGTGCTTGTTTGGTCAACATTTTAGAGCTCAATGAAAAAGTATTCCTTATTTTTTTCTACAGATTGGCAGGATATATCAGTTAGAGGAGCAAATATATCTATTGGTAGTCCTGTTGAGGATGACATACCAAAGCAATCTTTCATACTCGTATGCTCTGAGAAGGCTTCATATGTCTATTCCTTGATTCAAACCATTCAGGTAATCAGCATATTATTTCTGTAGGTACTCATCATTTGTACCCCACCCTGCCCTTCAAAAAAAATGAGGGTATACTTACACCTTTCATTTTGACTCAGGGCATAAAAAAAGTACACTACAAGAAGAAATTTCATTCCACTTCTTGCTTCTGGGCCTCAACATTTTATACTGCTTCTGATGTTGGCCTTATACTCATCTTTACTAGTGGAAAAGTCGAAATAAGGTGATGATCATATTTTTATTAGTCTGTTTTTACAAATTGATTTATACCAAATAAAAGGTCTAGACTGAATGACTATTCAATACGTTGCAATGCTTTGATATTGGAACCAAGGTGTTTTTTTGCAAATTTATTTCTGGAATTGTTCTCATGTATATCAACAAAAATATTGTGTGTTAAGGTCCTTGCCAGAGTTATCCTTGTTCAAGGAAACTTCAATCAGAGGTTTCAGATATTCTGCACCAAAACCAAATTTATTATCTGACAGCTCAATATGCTCTTCAAACTCTGGAGATTTTGTAATGGTACAACATAATTATTAATTGTACTAATTGATATTCATATATATTATTTGAGGAAGTAGTTTCGTCACTCTTTTACTCCTTTTAACAGGTGAATGGTGATCAAGAATTCTTCATATTCTCAGTTTTGCTCCAGAAGAAGGAAACTTTTAGGTATATAATGTTCTAAAATATTTAGTGTGTGACTTTCTTTATTACTTATCTTTGTAACCATTTTTTCCTTGTCCTGAAAAAAGGTTATGTAACTTGGAAGGAGAACACTATTACTTCATAGCCTTCATAGGAAAATTTAAATGCAATATAGCTACGGTGATCATTTTTTTCCAAAAAGAGAAAATCACCATGTTCTTCCTGTTCTGCTTTCTATTTGTCTACATGTTTAGAAAACTGAAATTGGAGTTCAAGAAGACTCTTGAGGATCCCCTTGTTCTTTTGTCATATGGGTCTTTGAGGAGGATGTAATTCAATATTAATTTGTTTCATAGGAATTTGGACTTTATCAGCCGTGTGTACAGAGAAGATCTAATGCTTACTCAGGAAGTACTTGCCTCTGGAGCCACAGTTCAGAAGGAGAAGAAAAAGGTAGTTAATAGATTGCACTGCTTGGTCTCTGCATATTAGATACAACCTTCTGAAACTGATGGTTATTCCAAAAATGTTACTTATTTGGCATGTCAGGGAATTTTTGGCTCTGTTCTCAAAGACATAAAAGGCAGTAAAAAGCATTCTCCTGAAATGGAAACAGAAGATACTAGAGAAAGTATTGAAGAGCTCTCTACCATCTTTTCAACTGCTAATTTCTATGTGAGGTAGAGAATAAAGATAACCAAACTGCGGATGAGGATGAAATAGACTTAAACATAGGTAATCATGTTGCAAGAATCATGATATTGTATATTGCATATTGTGGGGGTTGAGTATTTCATGTCTCAACTTATTACGTCAAATAGGCTGCTAGTCTACGGCTGATTTTCATGAGGACTTTGCTATGCATATGGTGGACTGTCATGTTCTTGCATCAGCTTAATCCAATTCTTTTCACTTTTTCTTTTCCCTTTTCCTTTGAAGATGATATTGACATCGATGATCCTGGAGAGAAACCAAAAGAGCAGAATATTCTAGCAGCTTTTAATAAGCATAAACTTAAATTTCAGGCTTTTACAGCAGGTCAATGTCCTTTTATCTCCGTGATTCAACAGACCCCCCCCCCCCATCAATGTATTCATTTTATAACAAATGATTTCATATTTTCAGGTAAACTGAAGCAGATGAAGGTTAAAATGAGAAAACAATCCCCAAAGAAGAGCCACAAGATGAGAAGTCCAGTGCCGTTGATCAAATCAAGAAAAAATACGGGTTTTCGTTGCAAAGTGTAAGTATTTGCTGATTGCAAGAATCCTGAAATGTGTTCGTTTTGTTAGTTACCACAACATGTATACATAAGCTTGATATTTTCAAATACTCTTGATAATTCCTTCTGTTTATTTTTTTTCTTTGAGAAACGGTGTCATTGATCATGCCAGACCTTGGTTTATATGATGAATATCACTGAGCTTTCCAGTTTATCCTTGCTAGCATGATAATAAATTTCATCTTTGAATTAGATGAGATGAGCCATGATAATACTATTGTTATAGAACATAGTCCTCTAGGCTCTAGTCTTTTGTCGTAGACAGAGTAAATAGCAGTGCCGGAGACCTCAGATATTGTATCCGTGTGAAAGCAAAGATAACTATGGTCCTTTCATCCTTGGGTGCAGGAATCAAGTGCGGCTAAAATGGCAGAAAGCAAGCTTCAGGACAATGTGAGAAAGTTGCAGGTACTGTTGTTGTATACTTGTATTGTCGAAGTTTTATTGATTGATATTAGTGATTTATTCTTGACATCAATGGAGATGTTTATCGAAAGAAAGAAAAAATGGTATTGATTAGAATATTAAGAAAAAAACCGTAAGGAAATGTTGAAATATGGGCTGGCAGGGAATCAGCTTGAAGACGACAGAGATGCAAGATACTGCTAAATCATTCTCTTCCATGGCAAGAGAACTGCTGCGCACTAAAGAACAAGACAAATGATTCTACTACATAGCATACATTATTGTTTTGTTTATTTACATGTCCATGTTTGTATAGCAGTGAAAAGATTAGAGTACTTCACTGAAATGAATTCTTTTCTTTTCTTTTCCAAGGTATTCGTTTTATTCATAGGATACAACAATTATAACTTCAATGTATTTCTAGTTCTGCACTTTCAACTTTTCCATTTTTATTATTTATTTTAAAATGTCCATGAAATAAATTAAAAAAAAAATCACCTTTTAGTGAGTCCTATGATAATTAGTTATTTGGGTAAATTACGTAATTATCATGCATTTATTCTCGTGATTCCATTTTGGTCATCCAACTTTTCCTTTTTACGATCATACTTAACGTTATGTTTTGGTTTCGTTTTAGTCACCATCCCTTAAAAAATAAACAGAGTTACTTACGTGTCATCATAAAGTAATATCATTTCATCATTAAGTAATATCACGTCATTATTGAAAAAATAAATAAATAATTGACACATCAGTAGTTTTTTTTAACGACGGTGACTAAAATGAAATCAAAACGTAATATTAAGTATGATTTTGAGAAAAATAGTCAAGTGATCAGAGAATAGATGGATTACTAAATATGTAATTATCCTAATTCTTATTTCCACCAATAGACAATAGTAGAAGAATTGGGAGAGGCCTTAGACTTACAGATTTATGCAAAATCATTCAATTTTAATTTCTTTTATTTTATAACAATTAATAATTCAACTGAAAAAATTTTAACATTCAATATTTTATAATTTTATTTCAACCGAACACAATTTTTGGCTTTGTTATGTTGAAGTAAGAGAACAGAGGTTAGAATTGCAAGAGTTTTTTCCCGAATAGTAAGAGGTACGAATGCTCAAAAGGTTAATTTGGTTACCGTCTAAATTGAATTAACTAAAATTGAATTAACTAAAAGTGAATTAATCGAAATTTATTTAACCGTTAATTTAACCGATTTCTCTTGGAAATATTTGTAGTTATATTAATTTGAATTTAGTAGAGATTTTTTTTTCATTTGGATTAAAATTTGATTGGATCTTGAAAGTTTAATAGATTTAATATGGTTAAAAATAGTTGAACTTTAATTCTCAATGAGTTTGAACTTTATATTTTAAATATTTTTTATTAATTCAATTAATTAACTAATTTCTAATCAACTTAACTGTTAACCAACATTTGAAAATTAGTTTATTTATTAATTGATTTAACATCAAATTAACAGATCGATTAATCGAATTAAATTTTGATTCGATCGATTAGTTCCATTTAACCGAAAAATGAACACACTTAGGTGGTGTTTGTTTTTGCAGAGGTAAAAGGTCTGCAGTCTATGGACCACATCTGTAGGCATCTGCAGCAGAAGAGGTGGACCAAAAGTCTGCAGTCTGCAAGAAGAAAACTGTTTGTTTTTTAACGTCTGTAGACTGCTAAAATAAACTGAAATATAAATAAATTGATTTTTTAAATTATACTCAAATAACCATTTTTGCTATTAATTTTTTAAAAATTATAAAATGTCATTAAATTTAATGAATTATTACAAAATAGTCACTATAATGTTGTAATAAATTATAAAAGTTCAATAATATAATAAGTATTTTATAGTATTTAGATAAATTTATTAATAATTTTATAATCTTTTAATAAATTTAATAAGTATTTTATAATTTTTAAACTTTATTGACGAAAATGATCATTTGTATATAACTCAACGATATCTAATATACTTTATTTGAAAAAATATATTAAATAAATATTATACGAATTTTATTATTATAAATTATTACATCTACGAGCTATTAGATTTTGGTTTTAATATTATATATCATTTTAAAAATTATTATTAAATCAATCGATAATGAAATCAATTTGATTTTAATTCAATCTGTTTGTTTCGGTTTAAGTAATTGTTAAAAAAATTATATTTTATTTCTAAATTATTATCAATTCACAAATATATCAATACTCGATTTTATAATATCATTTAAATCATCTTAATTTATTTGAGTGGTACAATCCGATTCTAGTAACATCAAAAAATATATATAATATATACTCCATATAATATACATCAATTAGTATTTTTCTATTTAGAAAAAAATATATTATTTGTTTTTTATTTATTTATTCTGTATAAAGGGACTTTCGTACTTTACCAGAATTAAATGATAAGAATCAGATTTTTTAATAGTGTAAATATTTTTTTATTAAAACATTTATTTTGTCTTTTAATGCTAATAATTGTATATCCCCGTGATTTTCTAAGTTTTTATATAAAAAAAAGTTTACTAAGTTTAATTGTATAATATTTTTTACTAAGTTTAATATATTTTTTCAAATAAAGTATATTAGATATCGTTGAGTTATATACAAATGTTTATTTTCGTCAATAAAGTTTAAAAAATTATAAAATACTTATTAAATTTATTAAAAGATTATAAAATTATTAATAAATTTATCTAAATACTATAAAATAATTATTATATTATCGAACTTTTATAATTTATTACAACATTATAGTGACTATTTTGTAATAATTCATTAAATTTAATGACATTTAATAATTTTTAAAAAATTAATAAAAAAAATGGTTCTTTGAAGAAGTTAAAAGAGCTTTGAAGACATAAGTCCATGTCTGCGTCAAGAAGAGGACGCGCAGACGTTAGAAGAGCTTATGTCTTCTAAAAAACAAACGGTCTGTGAAGCCCAATGTCTGCGCGTGGTCTATGCGGCGCAAACATAAAAGCTTTGAAGACCTTAAACAGTAAAAATAAACACTAACTTAGTCTAAAGTAATTACATGTTAGTATATATTCAAAAAAAAAAATCATTGGATACAAGTTATCTAGGGAGAAGGTATCTATTTTATTGGTAGTTAAAGGATTTTTTTAATAAAAAATAATAATAAAGGAAGGTTGTTGGAGGAAACTTAAAAGCGGGGCCCGATGCTAACTACCTATGCCACTTCTCAGACATGCGGCCCAGGTAGTTTAATTCAAGTGGACGAAGCAAAGACTGGTAATTGGTTGGTCGTTGTCGTCTCCGTTTTCACATTTTTCAAACAGTTGCCCTCTCTACACAACAAAGCAATGGCAGAATATACAACCCACCTTTATGCTGCATGTAATTTACTATCCAAATCCTTTTTATATTAAGTGGGAAAACAAAACGAAACGAAACAACGTAATAAAACCATGGTTCATGACCCAGACTCGTGCAAACTTGTCCTTCTTGACCGGTAGATCTTCACTTCTGTCTGTCCCATTTCTATTTCTTCTACTAGCCCCCGCCCCCAAATTTCATTTCATGCTCTCTTCTTCATGGACTCGTCCCAAACCCCTTGCCTCACAACTCTCTTGGTCTTTGAAAATACAATCAACAAAGGTAACTTAATCCTTTACCCTCCCCATACATGATTATTACTTGGATTTTCTTTTCTGGGTTTGCTTAGATTCTTATTGTTTCCTTGTTTTTGTTTTTGCAGAGTTGATCAGAAGCTTGCATGTATACCGATTGGACAACGGAGAGGAAAATGAGGTGGAGAGAGAGTTTGTTTTCAGAAAAGATGGTCCTTTCGTGGAAACGGCGGCAGCCCCACTTCTTCTATTGCAGGGGTTTCCACCTCAGGAGCTTTTTGAAGGCAGGGTTATTGGTTTGTGGCTCTGCTTTTTGCTTTTCATGCCCATCGTCTCCCTCGCTTCTTCTTCATTCCTTCTTTACTCTCCGTTCCCAGGTACCTTGTTTTCATTTCATCCTCTTTTCACCTACTTTTGCCGGATTACTTTATCTTTCATTTGTGTATTTCAATGCAAAACCAAGTTTGATTATTTGGTGTTTTGAAAGACAATTGTTGATTAAACATTGGGATAAATAACCTATATAGAGGATCAGAAGAGGCAAGTTTCGTGCTTAGATGCACATTTCATCATCCGCACCAGATTGCATTAATCCTGCAATTGTAACGGTGCCAACCGAGCTAAAACGTAGCCGGAACCATCGCACCGTTGTTGAATCATCTACTACCATGTTTCTCTTTTATTGAAAATAATGCATCTTCTTTGATTGGAAACCATTGTTCTGCAATAGGTGAAGCATTGTGTATTGAGTGGTATTTATGTGAACTTATCAAGTAACTCATGCAGTGTAAAATATAATGCCTGCTTACTTAAAGTGACTACCAACAAAATCAGGTAGACAAAGTCAAGGTAAACCCTTCATTACAAATAGCAAATTGCCGATATTAGATACTTTGATATTTAGAAGTTGGCATTTTACTCGCACGGCTTTTCGTTATCGAAGACTATTAATGTGACAACATGGTCCAGTCTCCACTCCAATCTGACCCATGCCTTGAGTTGGAAGTGCAAATGACTTAACTTTTCCAATTTTTTTTTTCTGTCATTAGAGCAAGCATTTACATGTCATGATGGAAGGGGAGTTAGGGTTTGAAGGTCTTAATTTGGGGGAAAATCGAAGAAGGAAGTTGGGGAATCAGCAGTAGAAAGGGGGAGAGGAAAGAAAGGAATTAGGGATCGAAGGGGGATTAGGGATTGAAGTTTTATCTGAAGAGGGAAAGGCAGAAATAATGACAGGAGATGGGTCACACGGGATTGGGTATGGGTTAATAGGGTAACTGGGCTTTATTACTTAGACCCAATTAATATATCAGTAGGCTTATGAGTTAAAGGGTTGGGCAGGTCTGGATCTAAGTCAGAGGTGAGAGGGATGGAATGGTGAGTCATCATTTTAGACGGTTATTTTGTTAGATTGCTGAATTGCCAGCTGGAGGTACTGTATATATATAATTGTACCCAGAATCTTTGAGGATTTATCTTATGAAATGAAAATGCACACTTCTGTAACCTATTCTTTCTATTTTCTTAAATCCCTAAAAAATTCTTCTATCATTCTATCCTAAATCATAACAAATTGGTAATTAGAGCTGAGTTCTGTGATCCAAACCATTTTTCACGCTGGGAAAGACAAGAAAGATGCAAAAGACTGGAACCATTGAGGTACCAGAACAAGCAACAGAAGTGAAGGAAGAGACCTTACCATCTTGGTGGGTGGGGCAGAAAGCAGAGCTGGAGGGAAGGATACAGACCTTGGAGGAAGGAATGACTGAGAACAGGGGATATTTGCAGAGAATCCTACAGCTGGTCAATCAAGCAGCTGAGGAAAAAGACTCACCTCAGTCAGCAAGGAGTCATCCACCAGCAGCTGAAAAGAAAAACAGAGGTGAAGGTAAACAACCATGTTTAGTTACGGTTCTTAGTGAGCACGAAAAGTATACTTTTAGACCTAATGAATCGGGGATATTAGCTGATAAACATGCGGGGTCTACTGGTCTTCTACCTTTTAATCAGAAATTGCAAGAAGAAAATATTATGGGCAGTTCTAGTGAGGTTAAAGTAGACAGTAAAGGTTTATTTGGGAGTTCAGGGCTTATGTTACCTCGACCTAAATTAGAACTACAGATGTTTGATGGTAGTAATCCCAGAGGATGGGTGAGAAAATGCCAAAAATACTTTAATCTTTTGGGAGTCCCTGAGGAACAAAAATTGGATGTGGCTGCAATGTATTTGATGGGGAAGGCTGAGACATGGTTTGATGGCTATATTATGCAGAAGCATAGAGTGACTTGGCATGAATTTGAGGCTGATTTGTGTCATAGATTTTGTGATAGAAACTATTCAGATATCATTGAAGAATTTAATAAGTTAATGCAGAAGGGTAGTGTAGAAGAATATCAAGAAAAGTGTGAAGAGTTAAGACCCTATTTGCTACAACAACATATGCATTTAGGGGAAGATTATTTTGTCTCCAGTTTCATTAGTGGTCTGAAGGAGGAATTGAAACATAAGGTGAAGGTGTTGGAGCCCAGAAATCTGTCTGAGGCTTACAGGCAGGCCAAACTTTATGAGTTGGCTAATGAGATGGAAGGCAAGAAGTATAAATATTCTCAAAAACTTTTTCCTTATACTTCTTCAGGTGGTCAACAGAACAGTGAGACTAAAAGTTTGCAGCCTAAGACAACTCTTCCAAATTCAAATGCAAGGCAGAGTTTACTGGAATATAGAAGAGCAAATAATCTGTGTTTTAAATGTGGGGAAAAATTTGCTCCTGGACATCAGTGCAAAGTTAGACAGTATGGAAGAGGAAGAAGATTCTGCTGATCAGGAATTGACAGAAGGAGAAAATGGAGAAGGGAATGATGTAGCTAAAGAAGCACTGGAAATTTCTATCAATGCTATTACAGGTAATGTGGGGCACACTACCTTGAGAATTCAGGGTTTTATCAGAGGAAAACCACTTAATGTGCTAATTGATAGTGGAAGCACACATAGTTTTGTGACTCCTAGGTGGGCCAAAGAAGGAGTGGAACTTGTTCAGACTCAACCATTAGTTATTACAGTAGCTAATGGGGAAAATCTATTCAGTACTGCCAAAAGTAATCAAGTAAGTTGGAAGATACAAGGCTATGAATTTCAACATGATTTCAGAGTTTTGTCTTTAGGGGGCAGTGATATGGTACTGGGAGTGGACTGGATGGAAGAGTTTAGTCCTATAATGATGGATTTCAAAGCCAAGATAATTAGTTTTGAAAGGGATGGAAAGAATGTTATGATTAGAGGAACTCAGAAATTGCCAACCATCAAAACCATCTCAGGTGAAAAATTACAGAAGTTAGTGGAGAAGGATACTGAAGTAAATGGAGAAATCTATTTGTTGAATGCTGAAGTGGAAGAAAGTAAAATTCCTCTACCTTTACAAGATTTATTAGAAGAGTTCCAGGAAGTGTTTGAGGAACCTAAGGGGATGCCTCCTAGAAGAAGACATGATCATGCCATTGTTCTGAAACAGGGGACACAACCAGTCAATCTAAGACCCTATAGATTTGTTCATCATCACAAGACTGAAGTTGAAAAACAGATTGCACAAATGTTAGCCTCATCTATCATACAAGTGAGTAAGAGTCCTTTTGCTTCTCCTTGTTTACTTATTAGAAAAAAGGATGGAACTTGGAGGTTTTGTGTGGACTATAGGCAGCTTAATTCTTATACAGTTAAGAATAAATTTCCTATTCCTATAGTAGAAGACTTATTAGATGAATTACATGGGGCTAAATTCTTTTCAAAGATTGATTTGAGATCTGGTTATTGGCAAATTCGGATTAAAGAGGAGGATGTTCATAAAACTGCTTTTAGAACTCATCAAGGGCACTATGAATTTAAAGTTATGCCTTTTGGCCTGACTAATGCCCCAATTACTTTTCAAGCTTTGATGAATGACTTGTTTGGATTGTGTTTTTTGATGATATTACGATTTACAGTTCCAGTATGATAGAGCATAAAAATCATTTAAGAGTGGTGTTGGAAATTCTGCTGAAGAATAGTTTGTATGCCAAAAAGAGTAAATGCTTTTTTGGCCAACAGCAAGTAGAGTATTTGGGACATTTAATTTCAGCTAAAGGAGTAGCAACTGACCCTGAAAAAATAAAGGCTATGCAACAGTGGCCTTTACCTAAAAATCTAAAAGCTTTGAGAGGATTTTTGGGTTTGACAGGGTATTATAGAAAATTTATCAAAGGGTATGGAGAATTGAGTAAACCCTTGACTAATATGTTGAAGAAGGAAGGATTTCATTGGTCTCCAGAGGCTAAATTATCTTTTGAGAATCTAAAAAGGGTTATGTGTGAAGCTCCAATTTTGGCTTTACCAAATTTTGAGCAGAAATTTTTTTTTGGAAACTGATGCTAGTTCCAGGGGCATTGGGGCTGTTTTATCTTAAGCAAGAAGGCCTATAGCTTATTTAAGTAAGGCTTTGGGGCCAAAGCATGCAAACCTTTCTATCTATGAAAAGGAATACTTGGCCATCCTAATGGCAGTATCCCATTGGAGGCATTATTTGGAAAGTGGCTCATTTGTGATTAAAACAGATGATGAACCTCTAAAACACTTATTAGAACAAAAGCTGACTACTACAATCCAAAAGAAAGGTCTGACTAAGTTACTTGGATTGGATTATACAATTCAGTACAGGAAAGGCAAAACAAATAAGGTGGCAGATGCACTTTCTAGACAGCTACTGGATTCTGGTGAATTTTTGCAAATGGGGGTTACTGTTGTAATTCCTACTTGGAGACAGGATATTGAGCAGAGTTATGAAGGGGATCTAATAGCTCAAGAGAAGATTCCTATTTTACTTATTCAGCCTGACAAGATTGAGAATTGGAAGAGAATTAAAGGAGTTTTATACTTCAAAGACAGAATTTATGTGGGCAGCAAAGGAGATCTCAGGCAGAAAATTATGGTGGCTTCACATGATTCACCACAAGGGGGTCATTCAGGTATTCAAGCTACTTATCAGAGGGTTAAAGCTTATTTTTATTGGCCAAAGATGAAGCTTATGATTCAGAAATATCTACAACAATGTGAGGTTTGTCAGAGAACTAAAATTGAACACATTTCCAAGCCAGGTTTACTACAACCTATTCCAGTTCCAAATAATGCATGGGAAGTTATAACAATGGACTTTATTGAAGGGTTGCCACCTTCAACAAAGTACAATTGTATTTTGGTAGTGGTTGACAAATTTACTAAGTATGCTCATTTTATGCCACTGTCACATCCCTACACAGTGGTACAAGTTGCTAAGCTATATTTGGATCAGGTTTATAAGCTTCATGGTCCTCCTAAGGTAGCTATTTCTGATCGGGACAAGTCTTTTACTAGTCTATTCTGGCAAGAGCTACTTAAACAATTGGGGACAACTACACTTTTCAGTACTGCTTATCATCCAGAGACGGATAGGCAAACTGAGAGACTCAACCAGTGTTTAGAACAGTATCTCAGATGTATGTGTTTTTTAAAACCTACATCTTGGTCAAAGTGGTTAGCCCAAGCAGAATGGTGGTATAACACTAATTACCACTCTACTATCCAAATGACCCCATTTGAAGCCTTATATGGTTATAAGGCACCTCTTCTGAGTTGGTCAGGGGATTCTAGAGTGGATGCAGTACAAACTATGATGCAAGATAGAGAACAATTTAATGCTCTACTACGTGAACAACTACTTAAAGCCAGTAACAGAATGAAGCAGATTGTAGATAGGCATCGTACAGAAAGGGATTTTCAGGTTGGAGAGGAAGTTTACCTGAAACTTCAACCTTACAGACAGACATCACTCGCCTTAAGGAAAAACCTAAAGCTTGCTTCTCGATATTACGGTCCCTACAAAATACAGAAAAAAATTGGTCAGGTTGCGTATCAAATGGAATTGCCACATGATTCTAAATTACATCCAGTGTTTCATGTTAGCTTATTGAAGAAGAGAATCAGAAAACAGGGACTTATCTCGCTGAATCCTCCTGAAACATCTTCAGATGGTCAATTGAAAATTTACCCAGCAACCGTGTTGAACCGACGCGTGGTGAAACGACAGAAGCATAATGTTCCTCAACTGTTGATTCAGTGGACAAACATGGGACCAAATGATGCAACGTGGGAAGATGCTTTGGTGTTGCAGAACCAGTTTCCCGATTTCGATCCTTGGGGACAAGGATCGTTTGATGGAGGGGGTATTGTCACGATGGAAGGGGAGTTGGGGTTTGAAGGTCTTAATTTGGGGAAAATCGAAGAAGGAGGTTGGGGAATCAGCAGCAGAAAGGGGGAGATGAGAGAAAGGAATTAGGGATCGAAGGGGGATTAGGGATTGAAGTTTTATCTGAAGAGGGAAAGGCAGAAATAATGACAGGAGATGGGTCACACGGGATTGGGTATGGGTTAATAGGGTAACTGGGCTTTATTACTTAGACCCAATTAATATATCAGTAGGCTTATGAGTTAAAGGGTTGGGCAGGTCTGGATCTAAGTCAGAGGTGAGAGGGATGGAAGGGTGAGTCATCATTTTAGACGGTTATTTTGTTAGATTGTTGAATTGCCAGCTGGAGGTACTGTATATATATAATTGTACCCAGAATCTTTGAGGATTTATCTTATGAAATGAAAATGCACACTTCTGTAACCTATTCTCTCTATTTTCTTAAATCCCTAAAAAATTCTTCTATCATTCTATCCTAAATCATAACATTACATTCCTAGCTTCACTGCCAGTTTGCCTTGATCATGCTTTAATAACTTAAGTCACCATGCAGAAACCCAAAGCTGAAGTGTATCCCGACACTTGCGAATGATCTTCAAATGATTTTTCGGAGGGGATGTGGAGCAGAAGATAGGGGACCATCTAAGGAAACTTGTACAAAGCATGAAGATAAACATTGCCACCCAAAAAGAAATCTTCTTGTACTTCATCAGGATCTTAATTGCCTCCCTAATTCTGTTGCTGCATCCGGGTTACTGAAATCTCAACAAACAGAACAAAATGCAACAGGTTCTTTAAGAGCTTCCTCTTTTTTGGTAATTGCACATGAATAAGAAGTCCAATATTATGCAAAGAAGGATTTATTTTGTGTTTATAATCTTCATAATTGCATGTAGCAAGCTTCTCTGCATTGTATTAATGTTGACCTACAAACTTAAAGCGTAGAATAACAACGAGAAATCGCTGTTTTTTGTGTAAAGGGATTCCATATGCCTTTCTTTCCCCATGACTTGTAGTTCACATTTTCATTAGTTGAAGGCTAAAGCTATTCATATTGGTGAATAACGACTGATATATTTGTTCTGGACTTTACTGGTTGTCAATATTTGGCGTTATAGAACATATGCTAATCTAATAGAATATCAAGAAGCAGATCGGTGGGGAGGTTTTTTTTCCATGCATTCCTTCATAAAATCTGAATTTTTCTGCCATTTATGAAGCATAATGTCTTCAAGACTGGAAAAACCGCAGGTGTTGCAGGGAAAAAGAAAAAAAGAGCAGATTCTAAGGATGTAGCCAGAATTGCTCTTGAAGATCTTGTAAAGTACTTTGATCTACCGATAGTGGAAGCTTCTAGGAATTTGAATGTTGGCCTCACTGTTCTGAAAAGGAAGTGCAGAGAATTCGGAATCCTTCGCTGGCCTCACAGGAAGATCAAGTCCCTTGACGGTCTAATTCGTGATCTCCAGGTCCTTTCTCTTTCCCTTTTGCTGTTGAATTGCCATGAATAAAAGAAATGAGGGGGAAGCAGGTTGTTCTTGAATGAATGATCTCTTAGTACACACATTTGGTTCCATCATGCAATCAATCTACTCTTTATCCATGTGCAAGTGTACACATACTTGTTCACGAAGAAATGCTTTCGTTTCCTTTCTTAACCACGAAGAAAACAAAATTGATGCAGGAAGAGGCTGATCAACGGCAGCAGGAGGACAAGGCTGCAGCCTATGCAGTAGCAAAGAGGCGAATGATGTTGGAGACGGAGAAAGAAAGTATAGAAAAGGAACCTTGCACCGAATTAAAGAGCGAGACGAAGCGGTTTAGGCAGGATATTTTCAAGCGAAGGCATAAAGCAAGAGCTCTTAAAAATCAGTACCTATCAGTTTTCCATGATCAAATGAGTGAAGCAGATGATTGATATATGGAACCAAATACCTTCCTTCCTTCACCAAGACTAGGAGTAAATGTATGAGATCTTTGGCTGGTGCTTATATAACAGGTTTAATATATTACATTTTCTCTTGTTCAGACCATCGATGCTATTACACATACACATGTGCTTCATGTGTAGAAGGAAAATGACCTTTTAGATTATGAAACGTGTGGAAATGAGGTTGAAATTTTGCAGGTCAATTGTTTCCATTGGTGGGTTTCAGAATCTAATTCATAGGTCCCATTTTTATCCTTTTTTTAAGTCATCCAATGGGGAGTTTGGTAGTAGCAGTAATAGGAATGTTTATTATATTAAGGCTTTTATATAAATGTTCAAATTATACTTTAAATTAATTTTAGGTCTTTCAAGAATTTTTCATTCAAAATAGTTTACTAACGTTTTTTTCGGTATATTTTTAAGTGTCTACGATGTAATGACCGCTTAAAAATCTTTTAAAAATTGATCAATCAATCAATATTTGACACTTGACCTAATTTTTATTTTTTTATTTTTAAAAAATAAATTTTATACAATCCAAAAATCATAAAAACCAAATCCCTGACCCAAAGTCCGTTATCATCGCTGGTCGTCACTACCAGCGGCGAACACTCACCCACCGTCGCCAGAACCCACCATTGGTTCCACTTACATCGCGAGTTGCCGTAATCAGTTCAACCCACTACACAACTTGTATTCCTTCCATAAAACCAAATCGAGAACTCCGTCGAATGGTAGACACCGACCATTTCAACATGGCCTTTCAACTTCTGGGAACCGCCGTCGAGACCTCCGTGACATTTCATCTCTCACCAGTACGAAGGGTAGACCTCCGTCGAGACCTCCGTGCCTTTCAATTTCTGAGAACTGGGGAGAACCTCACCTTCTCCAGAGACATGGCCTTGATGCGTCGGATGGAGATCGGCTGCCAAACTCTACAAGAAGCAATCGCCGGCGACATGAAATCAGTATAAGGATTTGGGTGAGTTTTTGTAATTTCTAAAAATTTGTGTTTTTTAATAAAAAATCAATATTTTTTAAAAAATAAAAATTTAAAAAATATAAATATTACAACTTTTTTAACAACATTACTAAAGTAAGTATAATAGAGAAGATATTATAAATTTATTTTTAACGAAAATTATTTTAACACGTAAATTTAACTTAAAATATAATTTAGATGTTTATTTTTATATTAAGTCTCATATTAATTAACGGAGAGTGGAGTCATTAATGGTGTTTGTTTTTCAAAGTGTTCATTCCACGTTTCCACTTATTTTTGACCACACACTACTGTAGTAGGTAGTTGCTGCTCCCCTTAATTCCATTCCCATTACTAATTCAACCAAGCAATTAATCACTTTCGTTTTCCATGGCTTTTTCTAAATTAAAAAACACCTTGCAATGATTATTTAAGGATTTAACATTTTCACAAATTATTTATTAAAATAACATTTTTTATAAATATATCTATTAATACATTTAATTTTTATCTTAATGTAACACATCGAACAACATAATTGATTTTTCATTAATACAAAGAGAAAGATGCAGCGATAAAGCGTGATTTTAAGAGTATCTATAAACCATGTTTTAAGTTGGTGTTTTTGTTGCCAAAACTTAGATAATTGGGAATAAAAGTTAAATCTTGATCTGTATAATGATTACATAATTTTGATTTGTACTTGAAATTCAATGGTTTGATTTTAAATCCAACGAGTTGATGTTTATAAAAAAAAAAAAAAGATAGTTGTCACACTCTAATTTAATTTGGTCAAGAACTGACTCGACTATGTTACATCTTGATCACCTACCATTAAAAATTAAATAGTATTGTTGAGTGTCACCATAAGATTATCACATTATCATTGACAAAATTAAGAAAATGTTACGTCAACAGTTCTGTTTATTTTTTTAATTATATGTAATCAAAATAGAACTAAAACTTAACATTAAGTGTGAATTTTATAAAAAAAATAGTTAAATGACTTAAACAAACTTACATAAATAGGTAGATGACTAAATACATAGTTTACCTAGAATAATTACGTATCAAAGGCAGTGTGATTGCAAATTCCCAATATTAAAGTCAACTTTATGGTACAATTGATCTAATGCTACACGGTTAGCCTACGCAACAACAACACCTAAATATTATATACATAAAGTCACTATGCACATTTTCCCTGTGCATTATTTATAGAGAAAATAACCTCAGTGACCAAAAATCCCATATAATATACGATTTTAACCAACTTTTTCCGGATTTGCCAAAATGACCAACAAAATCGCAATGCGATCGCTAATTCGCAACGCGATCTCCATTATCGTAAATTCGCGTTGCATTTTCGCAATGCGATAGTTGAAAATCGCGTTGCGATGGTCTACAGTATCGTTGCGATTTTCCTAATTCGCAATGCGAATAAGTAAATCGCAACGCGAATTGGGAAAATCGCAATGCGAATAAGTAAATCGCAATGCGAATTGGGAAAATCGCAATGCGATACTTACTATCGCAATGCGATAATACAAAATCGCAACGAGATACTTACTTTCGCAACGCGATACTGACTTTCGCAACGCGATTTACATAGCGCCATTCGTATTAACGCGTATTTTTTTTTCAAATTCCAAACACGTATTTTTTCTTAATAAATCGGAAAATGAACCGTCCACAGTAATCGCAACTCATAACCTCAAACCCAAAAACACAACACTCAGTCCCATCTCCATCTCTCACTCTCTACGGCAAAATCCGTACCCATCTCCGAAGATTTCCGTCCCCATCGCCGGCGAAATCCCTCACAACCATTCACAGTCAAAAATCTCTCACAATCATTCAGAAATGGAAAATCAACCTACGAGGGTTAGTTTTTTTTATTTTTATTTTGAAATTTTTGCATTATTTTAGGTTTTTCATATTGAGATTGATGATAAGTTTACTGGTAATTTCAATAATAGATTAACCATTTCACTTAGATTTCTTATTAAATTCATTCGATTGCTGTCAATACTACTAAACTGTTTAGCCTGTGAAGTTAGTATTTGTCTTTGCTTTGACTTTTGGTTGAAGTAATGCAGAAGAAGAATAGTTTCGAGAATGAAAATCGCAACGCGAAAATAACTATCGCAACGAGATAATCGCAACGCGAAATAAAAATCGCAACGCGAAACCAAAATCGCATTGCGATTTTCATTTCGCGTTGCGATTTTCATTTCGCGTTGCGATTTTTATTTCGCGGTTGCGATTTTCATTTCGCGTTGCGATTGTCTGGTCGCGATAGTCATTTCGCGTTGCGATTCTCATTATCTCGTTGCGATTTTCATTTCAACCAAAAGACAAAAACAGTGTTGCAAATTTTAGTTTCAAGAATAAACTACTATTTATGTTTATTGTTTTGTTTTTGGTATATCTTGACAGTGTAATTTTTGGTATATCTAACTTGGTATGTTTATTGTTTTTTTGTAGAAATTTTTTTCGGCTTCATTGACATTAAGGAATAAAGTTAGCATAGCCACTACAATTGCTTCGAAGCTTTCACCTGCACAAAGAAAATTGTTTGAAGAAACCTGCTTCGGGCCATGGCTGAGAGTACAGCATCCGGGTGGAGATGCTAGTTTGACCCATTTGTGGCTTCAGACCATGACTAGCGATCTACCCGACAGTATACAACATGGTGAGGAAGAGATGGTTTCATTTTCCACCGGCGTATACTTGTTTTGGGCGGAAGGAGTTCTGCTTAATCACTGGTCTACGATTCGGACACGATGATGTAGGCCGGTACACTCGTCATATCACCCGCCCATCATGGTTATCCAGGGTTTTTCCTGATGAGTCAATAGAGAAGCCGAACTTACACGTCGACGACATGAAGAAATTGTTTAATAAGAAAGATGGTTTTACTCGGATGAATGACGTCGATGTTATCCGAGTATGCCTTATACTACTTTTGTATGCCGGCTTTCTAGGCAGAGAGGCCAGACAACCTATTCCTCAGGAGCTAATATTATTGGTAGAGGACCTAAATGCATGGAATCTGTTTCCGTGGGGTTCGTATATATGGAAAGCTACCTGGACTAAGTTGTCGTCTACCTTTGATGACCGCAAAAGTTTGCGGGGCGATGGGTCGAAATACACTTTGTCAGGCTTTGTTTGGGCCTTTAAGGTAAGAATTTCTATATAATGTTTTCAAAATTATAATTAATTATTTAACAATTACTAATGTTTGTTATTATATTGTTTGTAGATTTGGATATTCGAGGCTTTCCCCAGCATGCAGACATATGCATTAAAATCCTCAGATGATATTCCTAGGGCTATTTCCTGGAAGAGGAAACGTATGTTGGATTGGGAAGACTTAATACTATATGCGACAATAAATAATGTAAGTTAACACAAATACTATCATATATAAACAAGTTATTAATAGTAGACGTTTAACTTTGTTTAGTTTTTATTATATTTTTAGGAGGCCAACACTCCATTAATGAGACTGACACCCACGGAGGCTGAGCTTGCCACTGATTGGTGGCAAGCTAGTCAGCGTTTTTTTGATGGCACGAATGATGAGCAGCCTCCACTTCCTCCACTTCGAGAGCCATCACCTGATCGACCCGACTATACACCTCTACAACGAGAGCCATCACCTATCCCGTCACATCATCGAGTCTCTTCTCCACCATCACCTCATGATAGGCGACCGACAAAGATGCCACGACTTCTATCTCCCTGTTCTCCACCTCCACGGGATGAGTCAAGGGAGTTACGTGATGAGGTCAATGCCTTGCGTGAGGAGATCGGTACTCTACGCGATAACGATGGTGCATGGCATGTGGAGGTGTCTACTTTACGTGGTGAGGTTACCGCTCTACGTGAGATGGTAGTATCGTTGCAGAATGAGGTTCATACTCTACGCAACGAGGTAAGTTTAAGATTTTCCATATTTAACTTGATGATAAATTTACTCGTAATTTCACTTAAATTAACCATTTCACTTAGATTGCTTAGTAAATTTATTCG